TTTTCTGTGGTATTGCCCTGCCCTAGAAAGAAATAAAAGTAATTTTCTGTATTTCCATTATACTCTATACTATTACTTTATTTTAAAACACTTTAAAATATATAACTTTCAAAGCATTTAAAGGAAGGAAGTGACCACTGTCATTCACTGACAGGCAATATTGGAAGGAAAATAGATGTTTCTTTTGCTCTTGTGGGAGGGACATAAAATTAAATTGAATATAAACAGTGTCATCAATGAATGCTGGTTTTCAGAGCCCACAACATCTTAGTCTTTAACATTTCTAGATACTTAGATCATCACATTGGACTGTTTGTACACTTCAGTTGAGCAATAATATGTGATCATTCTTGTGATTAAGAATAGCTAACATTTCTTTGTTAAAAGTATTATTCTGCTAAAACAAATGTGTAAATCTTTTCTCTTAGTGCGTTACAAGAGGATTGCCTAACCAAGCAGAGATGCAGAGCACTTCTAATCATCTGTGGCTTTTATCTGATATTTTAGGCCAAGGAGCTACAGCAAATGTCTTTCGTGGGAGACATAAGGTTGGTACAGAGAGAAACTGGGGGTTTTATCACTCTACATGTATTCTTCTGAGAAGCACACATGTACTAAGATGTGGGACATGGTGGTTTTGATTATGTTGTCAAATAAGAATTGAACGAAAAGAATGTTTTCCTGTAAAACGAAGAAGAGAATACATGATTTTGTGATTGTTAAGGGTAGCTAGTGTCAGAGGCAGTGAGGACATCTACCTGGTGACAGCAGCGTTCAGATAGGGGAGTGGAGGGAAACTGGAGGGTTGCTGAAAGGTTATTTCCATGTTGTGCCGTCTGACTTCTCCAGTCCAGTTCTCACTGCTTGAAGTTCAGTGTGGTAAGTGAGAGGTAGTGGTGAGGAGGCAAAATCACTAGTAATTCTGATATGCTCTAATGAGTGCTTGCCCCTAAAACAGCACCCTACAAGGTGATTGGGATAAAAATGATGTTATCAATAAGAAATCCAGGTGGAAATCTATGTCCTGGAATGAGAATCTGGTAATGAAAGTGAGTAAAATAAAAGAATGAATCCCAGGGCATCCCCAAAACCAAATGGATTCTGTGTCAGATGGGCTATTTATTGGAAGATGAAATGAAAGATAATTGAAATAATTCAAAATAAATGAAAGATAATTAAGGTTTCTATTCTGAGAAAAAAGCTGTAAAAAAATAATGGAATATAACATCTTTTTTTTGTTTTTCTTAATCATTTTATTAGGGGCTCATACG